CTCTCTCTCTTCACTCGTTGTCTGTCTGTGTCTGTCTGCCTCTCTCTCTGTCTCTGTCTGTCTGTTTGTCCGTCTCTCTCTCTCTCTTTCTCTTTCTCTCTCACACACACACTGTCTCTCTCCTCCCCTCTCTCTCTTCCCCCTCCCCTCTCTCTACCTCGTTCGCTCGCTCGCTAGAAAGTTATCTACTCATCTAACTCCTTCTATCTTCCTCTAAACATAGACACACACAAACAGGTAATACATCCAAGATACAAGAACTGCATCAGCCATTAAAGATAGAATTACATGTTTAATACAACAACAACAGTCTACGCGACGCACTTATGCAAATCTCGCTGCATCACGTCAACATTCGTAATTTCTTTCATTACCGTGACATGATTTTAATCTTCAGTTGAGTAATCAAGTTAAGTTATGAGTGAGTGTGCAATCTTCACAACAGATTTGCAACATGCATAATTATCCACCAAAAATAATAAAAAGAGCCAGACAAAATATAAACAAGATAAATCATATTCTTTATAATCGTAGACAGCAGAAACACCTTGGGAAATATTCAGACAAACTACATGCATAAATATGAAGATTAATTGCGGTCAGTGACAAAGCTTTCAAAATAAGAAGTGACCAAAAACACTTTTATTATTCTCTGCACTCGACTACACTGCGGCGTACTTATTGGTATGTAATAGTTGTTCCGAAGGGTCTGAGCTAGACTTAAAGTGAACAGAGCCCATTGCGGCAAATGCTAAAGAAGGATTGCCTAAAAGCGAACAATTTCAAGATGTGCGATAAGATATGAAAAAGAAGATACAATATTAAAATGTCCGTTACGCATCTTGTATTGTGAAATTAGTCACATTCTGTCATACATTTTTCAACAGTGTTCAAGTAGTTTCAGCTTTCTGACTATTACAAACATATACATTTGTTTAATCATTTGTTTTAGGAAAGATTTTGGTCAATCGCTGTAGTGCATTATCATTTTGAAGAAAACAGTTAGAGTTTTCTTGAGAAACTCACTACAAAGGAGCCGAACAGTCACCAAGACAACTTTGAGATCTATAAGTTCTGATAAATTTTGACTCTAGTTTTTGGTCGTATTGGATTTTTTTTTTTTCACGAAACTGTAGAAAGCAAATAATCTGTCGCAAAGTTCAAGAAAAAAGAAGAATAATCAAGTCAACTCATCAAACTAATCCTCATAAGATGCTTCTCTGACACCGTATGTGTCTCTCGTGAGCGCAAGACATTCCCCGTCTGGTGGCTCTTTACATCTGAACACTTTAGAGCAAAAGAAAGAAGAGAGAAGAGAAGGAAAGAAAGAGAAGAGAAGCAGAAGAAAAAAAAGAAAAAAAGAAGAAAAGAAAAGAAAAGAAAAGAAAAGAAAAGAAAAAAAAGAAAAGAAAAGAAGAAAAGAAAAGAAAAGAAGAAAAGAAAAAAGAAAAGGAGAAAGAAAAGAAAAAAAAAGAAAAGAAAAAAGAAAAAGAAAAAGAAAAGAGAAAAGAAAAGAAAAAAAAGAAAAAGAAAAGAAAAGAAAAGAAAAGAAAAGAAAAGAAAGAAAAGAAAAGAAAAGAAAAAGAAAAAAGAAAAAGAAAAAGAAAAGATAAATCGTGTGGCGGCTTCTGGTGACTAGTTAGAGAATCGCTACGGAAATTAAGGAAGAAATCGCCATAATATTATTGCTCAAGGCTTCATGTATGTTTATCTACGGATTTACGTAATCCTGGCGGAGGAGCAGCATTCACTCTGCGACTCTAAGGGAATTTTCCGTCAGTGATTTTTTTCCCCTTAGGCGCTTTCTTATCATTTTTCTTTTACAGTGAGAACTATTTCGGCAAAATTCCGCTGAGCAAATAGAGGGTTGTTTGCTTCCCTATATATATATATATATATATATATATATATATATATAATATATATATATATATATATATATATATATATATATATATATATATATATATATATATATATATATATATATATTATATACATATATATATATCTGTCAATCTATATATATATCATAACCATATATATATATATATATAATATATATATATATATATATATATATATATATATATATATATATATATACATATATATATATATATATATATATATATATAATATATATATATATATATATATATATATATATATATATATATATAATATATATATATATATATATATATATATATAAACACACACACACGGTAGACGTACGCACACAATATTTTACAAGATCTGAAGTCTGTATCGAAGGCTTAATCCAATAATGACTTATCTTATCTTATCAGTCCTTACGTGGGATTCCTCATCTCTTGTCTTACATTCTCACACCTGATGCATTGCCCCACTTCTGCCCAATGATTAATTATTGTGTGTGTTTATATAGAATGTATATAGGTATATACATGCATACATAAATGCGCGCATATAATATATATATATATATATATATATATATATATAGTATATATATATATATATATATATATATATATATATATATATATAATATTTATATATATATATATATATATATATATATATATATATACTTATTCATCTATATTTACACGCACACATACATACACACACACATATGCACACACACACACATACCACATACACATATATACACACACACAGATGCATATATACATTCAGACACACACACACATACACACATATACATACATAAATACACACACACACACACACACACAACACACACACACACACACACACACACACACATATATATATATATATATATATATATATATATATTATATAGATATATAATATATATATATATATATATTATATATATATATATATATATATATATATATATATATATATATATATATATATATGCATATATATATAGATATATATATGCATATATATAGGATATATATGCATATATATAGATGGATATATATGCATAGAGATGGATATAGAGAGAGAGAGAGAGAGAGAGAGAGAGAGAGAGAGAGAGAGAGAGAGAGAGAGAGAAGAGAAGAGGAGAGAAGAGAGAGAGAGAGAAGAAAGAAAAGACAGAAAAGAAGGGAGAAACTGGAGAAACTGATAGACAGACAGACATACAGAGAGACAGAAGTATCTTAGGAGGCACAGAAGAAAGGAGAGAGACGACACAGGCAGACGAAAATACATTAGGGAAACACATGATAAGAGAAGAGAGAGGGTTCGAAAGGCAGACATTGACATTCATCCAGACAGCAAGAAAAGAACATCATGGAATGAATAACAAATGAAAACGCATGAAGTAAAAATAGATCGCAGAAAGCACTCGACAGGTGATAGCTCTCAGCAATCATTGTGTGGACGAAATAAATGGGACAACGAATATTCAGTCAAAATAAAATCGATTTGATTGGAAATAACTGCTTGCTCTTCCTGGCGCATTTGCATATCCAGGACCCAGGTCACATGACCCAAAACAGAAGACTAAAGCACAAGACCTTAAGCATAGGACTAAAGGTACGATCAGACTACCCATACATTTCACTGGAATCCAGCGTTTTTCTGTAGACTGGAACCAACCCAGCCATTCGTTGTGTTCACACTCGAAAAGGGTCATCGGCTTTGTCCAGTGGAATCGCGGCACCAAAACAAATCGTGACCGCAGAAACTCGCTATGGATCACGTAATCTTCTCCCTAACTCTTACTATTCCTTCATGTTTTCGGAATTCTAACCTTTCTAGGAGGGAGTAAATTGCATCAGAATTCCATATTTCGAATATGCGGCTTCAACTTGGAGTTGGCGATTACGCGTTTGTTTATATTCGTCGGTCAAATGAGAATCCATGGTCAATGGTTTTGTTATTACTTTTTACTCGCATTTTAAGTTAAATTTAAATGTAAATAATAATATAAAACTAAATATAAATAAATCTGAATAATTAAAAAATATATGATAATATATATACTTTGAAATTAAAATATATGCATACCATAGAGCAAAGACTTTATACGTAAGATGGAAAGCATGGCAAAAGCCTGTGTCCCAACGGCTGGATGATAGTGTAATATCTGAACAATAGATGGCGTTGTGTACGCGATGTATCGTCTGTTTGTTTACTATCGTGAAACGTCGCTTACCCAAGGAAAGGGATTGTTTGTTTTTGCATGTTTTATGCTTCCTGTTGTTTTAACTGTAGGACCTAAAGCACAAGACTCAAAGCACAGGGCCCATATATATATATATATATAATATATATATATATATATAATATATATATATATATATATATATATATATATATGACTAAAGCACAGGACCCAAAACATAGTACCCAGAGCACATGACCCAAAGCACAGGATCCAGAGCATAGAACCTAAAGGACAGTATTCAATACACAGGACCAAACCGCAGGAACTAGAACAAAGAACCAAAGGACCCAGAGCACAGAACCTGAAGCACGGGACCTAAAGCACGAGCCCAAAGCGCGGGACCCAAAGCACAAGACCTGTATCACGGGACCCAGAGCTAAGAACCTAAATCACAAGACCGAAAGCACAGGACCTGAAGCATGGGGCCCAAAGCATGGGACCTAAAGCACAAAACCCAAAGCACGGGGCCCGAAGCAAAGGACCCAAAACACAAGACGAAAAACACGAAACCCAAAGCACGGAAGCCAAAGCAAAGGGCCCAAAGCACAGGACCTGAAGCATGGACCCAAAGCACGTGGCCCGAAGCATAGGACCCAAAACACAGGACCTGAAGCACGGGACCTGATCACGAGACTCAGCAAAGAACCCAAAGCACCTTAAGCATGGACCCAAAGCACGTGGCCCGAAGCATAGGACCCAAAACACAGGACCTGAAGCACGGGACCTAAAGCACGAGCCCAAAGCACAAAACCCAAAGCACAAGACCTGTATCACGAGACTCAGAGCAAAGAACCCAAAGCACAGATCCAAAGCACAAAACCCAAAGCACAGGACCTGAAGCATGGGACCCAAAGCACGTGGCCCGAAGCATAGACCCAAAACACAGGACCTGAAGCACGGACCTAAAGCACGAGCCCAAAGCACAAAACCCAAAGCACAAGACCTGTACACGAACTCAGAGCAAAGAACCCCAAAGCACAGGATCCAAAGCCACAAAACCCAAAGCACAGGACCTGAAGCATGGATCCAAAGCACCGAACATAGGACCCAAAACAAGGACCTGAACCACGGACCTAAAGCACGAGCCCAAAGCACAAAACCCAAAGCACAAGACCTGTATCACGGGACCCAGAGCAAAGAACCCAAAGCACAGGATCTAAAGCACAAAACCCAAAGCATAAGACCCAAAACACAGGACCCAAAGCAAGGGACCAAAAGTACAAAACCCAAAGCATAAGACCTATATCACGGGACCCAGAGCAAATTACCCAAAGCTCAAGACCGAAAGCACAGGACCTGAAGCATGGGACCCAAAGTACAAAACCCAAAGCACAGAACCCAGAGCAAAGGACCCAAAGCACAGGACCTGAAGCACGGGACTTAAAGTACGAACCCAAAGCACGAGACCCAAAGTACAAAAAACAAAGAACAAGACCTGTATCGCGGGTCCCAGAGCAAAGACTCCAAGGCACAAAGCTCAAAGCACAGGACCTGAAGCACAGGACCTAAAGCCCGGGACCCAAAGCAAGGGACCCGAAGCACAGGACCCAAAGCACGAGACCTATATCACAGGACCCAGAGCAAATTACCCAACGCACAAGACCGAAAGCACGGGACCCAAAGCGCAGGACCTAAAGCACGACCTGAACCACGAGAAGCACAGGACCCAAAGCTCATTGTTATTACCATTACTATAG